CCCCCCCCCCCCCAATTCTTGGGTTTTGTGGTAGTGTCCCATTTCACCATGTATAGTTTCCTTTCTTCAGGTGTGGTGCCTAAGGCTGACAAGTGGGCCGGGCTAGGCAGCAAACGGGCCAAACGAGCCGGTCTCGCGGGCCGCAGTCCAAACGTGCTAAATGGGCCCAACGGATATAATTTTTTTTCGTTTTTTATTTTAATTAAATACAACTTAGAGACAAAAAGATGTTTAAAAAATATCTAAGGAAATACCTTGTAATTTTATTATAGAATTTGACTTGCAAATTGCATACAGGTTACATACTAATTTTTGAATTCAAATTTAAACTCCTAATTTGTAAGTTTTTGTGATGGAAAACAAACTTACAAGTATGATATTTAATTTTTGAATTGAAATTTAAACTTCTAATTTGAATTTAAAAAAAATTGAATTAAATACAACTTAGAGACAAAAATATTGTAAAAACATATTCAAAGCAATGCATTGTAATTTTATTATAGCAATAAAAAATATGACAACATATTTTTTTAGTCTTCTTCCCCCCTATAAAATGAGCACAACAAGGTGCTAATACCATCATTGAGAAGAAAAGGAAACTAATCAAGAAGTGCCAAAAATACAAGTTACATACTAATTTTTGAATTCAAATTTAAACTCCTAATTTCTAAGTTATTGTGATGGAAAATAAACTTGCAAATATAATATTTAATATATTTTAAAAACTTGAAATTAGTTTCCATAGCTATCTCTTACAAACTTCATAAATCCTTCAAGGTTCGAAGGAAGTTCCGTTGGTGGTGGCGGAAAAGTAGCTTGTTCATCGCCGCTTCCATTGTCGGACAAAGCAGCATCCTCAGCAAGTTCAGCTAGCATTTCTTCATAAGTTTTATCTATCTCTGGTTGTGATTCAGCAAGTCGAAAATTTCTTCTTTCTGAACGGATCAATCTCTTAAAAGTACTGATTTTTCCAAGATATCCCTCATAGACTGTCTATGATCACTAATTTGAAGTCTTGCTTGACTGAAAACACTTTCAGATGCCACTTTTGAAGCTTGAATAGTTAAAATATATCGGACCATCTTTGAAAGAACCGGAAAGTATTTTTCTTTGTCCTTCTACCATTGCAAAATATCAAAGGTGTCATCGGGATTCATTTCCTCGAGCCTCTGCGACAAATAAACTTCAAGCTCATTTAGTTGTGAAAAATCATTACTACTAGAACTTACAAAAAACTAAACCCCGCCCAAACACTAAGTCTTCTTACTCTCGCAGTTCTTTTAGAAGATTGAGAATCAGAAGAAGAAGAATAAGTTGGAACATTTGGTCTAGCCTGGTTTAATGCAACTTGATAAGCGTTATAAATAGTTTTAGCGTTTGTTCGAATCGAGGCTACTGCTTCCGAAAGTTTAAGCGCATCATCATCTTCAAGTGTTAAACCCTTATAAATAGTTTCATACCAAAATTGAGGACCTCTTAATTTTATACAAGGATTTAACATATTAGCAACACCACAATTAGCGGGAATAGGAAAAAAAATATTATTTAAACTTTCTTCTCACAGAATCAATAATAAGTTGATAAATTTTTCCACCCTGTGAAAAATTATCAAACAAATTTGCAAGTTCTGCAATATAAACTAATTAATTAGAAATAGTAGGATAATATTACCCCGAAAATTCTTTTGTAGCAATATGAAATTTTTTTTAAAAAGCAACAAGCATTTTAACATTAGCTCAATCCCCATTCGTAAGGTAATCGTCATCATCACTTACATATGCATTAAACATTGAACTTATGGGGTTTCTATAGTCATATGCAATAACCAAATTTTCATACATGCAATTCCATCTAGTTGGACAGGGTTTAGGAACCTTTCTTTCTCTTAGGCCACAATCATCGCACCTTCTAAAATATTCTCTAAGACTACTTTTACGGTCAGAATGAAAAAGTCAGTTAATAGTCATATTAACCTTTTCAATATTTATATTTAAATTCTCATACCATCACCCACAATTAAATGATAAAATATGACAAATACATCTAACATAAAAAAATATTACTAAATGCAGAATTTAGCGTAGTGGTAAGCAAGTCACATTTGTGTTATTAGTAGCATTATCCATTAAAACCGATATTATTTTATCACTAATGCAAAAATATTTACAAATTTCCGTAATTGTGCTAGCAATAAACTGCCATGTATGTCGTGAAGCAATTATTCTATAAGCAATTATACGCTTTTGCATTATTCAATATTCATCAATCCAATGACACGTAACAGTAAGGTAATCACATTCGTTGTTACTTCTATCAATATCAGTTGTAATAGCAGCATCACAATTTATATGAGTAAATAAGTAGCACAAATATTGTTCATATTCATGCTTATATTTGTAAATATCGCTTTTTACGGTTGTGCGAGAAAAACCTTTATATAAGTAGGATTATAAATTTTTCTAATGTAATGCACAAATGCAGGGTCAGAAGAAAAACTATAGGGTAAGCACAAAACAGTTACCAATTTTGCCAATTCGTTCCGATCTTTTCTTGAATCATAATATAAAATATCACCGGTAACAGTGCTAATTCCCGATTGAAATTGATTTGAACCAGTACCACTATGGTCAGTCTGACTAGGACTAGGTGCACTTTTTCCCTCGGCCAGAGCTTTCATACGAAGATATTTGGCGTTATCATTAGGGTGGTTAGCTATGTGTCTAGCCAAAATTTTGTCCCCGACCGTGTTAGTGTATATTTAAAAGCTAACTCTTGACCACAAGTTTTACGCTTAGCCTTACTTTTTTCAACTAGTTGAGTAAAAAATGCCAAACAAGAGATGTTTCCGTCTGTTTGGTAGGTTCTCTAGAAAAAAGTATGGGCAGTAACGGGAGTATCAGTTGGGTCATCATTAGGATTAGCATTGTTATCATTAGTTAGGTCAACATCAGGAACATGACTAGTGGGTGTATCATCGTCCGGTTGAGTTTCATCAAAATCAATTTCCTCATCATAATCTTCATTAGTAGTGGTATAATCAGTAGTGTAGCGAGCATTCATTAATTCATGGTTTAAAAAATCATCGGGTGCAATATTATAGAAAAATTCAGTTTCGATAAATTATAATAAACTATTATCGGTATCAAGAATAGCAGGTGTAGGATGACTACGGGATTTGGATTGGGGAGTCGA